AAGATTTACACAAAAATAGTAATAGAATTAAATGTTACTAAGCAAATAATTTGATAATATTTCTTTTTTTTTTCATTGTTGTTTTTTTAATCGCTCTAGTATTGAAAACGCTTTTTTCACTTTATGAAAATTTGTATCATTAATTCTATCATTCGATATATCTATAATTAAAGGTATCAAAGACGTCATAAATCAGTATCTTAACGTATATTTCACTCTAAGCATACGTATTGTATGACACTGTCTATTTCCGTTGCAATCTGTATTAATAAACATATTTTCGCAAGTCATTAAAAATAGAAATTAACAATAAAGTGTTGTGGTTTTTTCAAGTTATATTATAAACCGATTTTCCTTCACTTCTCAATGACAAATCTACTCATATCCGATTTTAATTCATTGTTTGAATGACTTTCATTTCCGTACGTAATATGTTTCCGTTAGATAAAAAAAAGTTTTTAATGATTAAATATAATAAATGGATGAATAAATATTTTTATAAATAAATCACAATTATTCAAGGATTCTTGGGTTATATGAATAATTAAAAGTTGCTTACCTGATTAATTAATTAAATGATTGTTTAAAAAGTTAACTCACGAGTGTGCTAATAGGTTCGAAGTTCGCGTAATTTTATGGTTTTTTTTGTTTTTTTCCGTTTCAAAAAGGTGCGCGATAGCACACGTGCGATACTGTTCAAGTGATGAAACACAACTGTGCCTCCACGAGTCTACCCGCAGGCGGTTGGCCACACATACCGACATTCTGAGGTGATGGACGCGTGCCCCTCAGCTCTGTAATACTGATGGGGATATTCCTATCTAACTCCTTCCACCACAAATGTTACAATCGTTGGTAGAACTGCCGGCTTCGATGTTCTGGAGAAAAATAACGTGTGGGAGAAATGATGAACGGAAGAAGTGGAGGAAAATAAATTCAACCCTTAAGTGGGGGAAAATTACCTCAAGGTAAATTTGTACTTGTTATCATGAACAAAATTTTTTTCTATGTTTATGAATAGAAACAGTTAAAATATTTTTTCTCAATAGAAAAATGTGAAAATTTTGGTCTTGTTTGTAGATCATAAATAATCATTTAGAAATTTAGAGATGTATTCTTTGCGAGTAAATAAAAAACGATTTTTTTTGTATTAATGTAAGTAAATATAATATTTTTTTTTTCTTTTCATTATAAGTTAGAACCTTTTGGTTGGTGGTATCTATTTGTTATGTGTGAGATAATAATAAATTTTTAAAGTTTATAGATTGAAGAAATGTTTTATCAACTCAATTTAGTCATTTTAGTCAATTGGAAAAGGAAAGTAATTTACAACATAATGATTCATGAATAATGCAATCAAGGTGGCGACTACTTTTGCTTGTACAATCGTAGAATGTTGGGAAGTGGACAGTTTTATCAGCCCTCATGTTCAAGAGCGGGAGCTGCGGGCGCAGGTGAGAAGAAGAGAGTAAAGTTCGCTAAACGGAAATGAAAAAAAAAAGACAAAAACGAAATAGAAAAAAATAACATTTTTGTCTCCTTAAAAATTTACTGCTTTTTTTAAATTACATATTTAACCCCAAATTTTTTTTTCCAATTATTTAGTAATTAATATTCGAATATTTCTAAACTGATAAAGCTCATCAAGGTGAAATTAAAAGAAAAATTAAATAAAAAAATTATTAAAGCAATATCTCTCAATTAATCTATAACCTATTTTTTGTATTTTTTTTAATTAAATTAAAAAAACAAAACAATCTTTCTTGATACCTTTAGTATTATCTGTAGATGAATATTTAAAATTTTTTTCAGTGATAAATAAAATAAATATCATTAAAAAGCAATTACTTAGATATATAATAAATTTTTTTTTATTCAAAATGTTTAAAACTAGAGAAGTAAGTGTATTACCTAACGAAATTGGTAGGTGAATTGTTATCTCGTGTAATTAAAAATAATTGTAAGCTCCCTCGAATTATTAGAAATAGATAACGCCTGTAAATAGCCTATATGACATATTTTTTTGTGACTCATTGATAATTTGGTATTTAGTTTCATTTCTATATGTCCTTCATATAAGTTATTATCGATAACGTTAAACATACTAACCTGACTAGTTAATGCAATAATAACAACTAATTATGTAAACACATATATTGCAAAAATTAAATTAGAAAAGTAAGGACGAATGCTTCAAACATGTTTTATAATCAGAAAGATACTGGTAGCTTGGTGACTTAATACAGGCCATTTTATACCTTTTGATTTAATACCCATATATCAAGGGTAGTCATAGTCACTATCAAATTCTTGAAAAACTACCCTTGGTGGTGTTTGATGAAATGGATTTATCACCAATCCATTGATATTCACCCTATAATATCAGTAAGATATCTCTTGGACTAATGCCTTCCCTTCATTATTATCATCACAGTGTTTTCATAAATAGTTTTATTAAGATAAATTTGTTACAATGAGTGAGAGTAAACTATATGCATGATATTGAATATATATTTTTTGTATCAACAATGTTAACATTGGATGTGTTTTCAAAAATGGTATGAACTATTGTCATATAAATACTAAAAAGTAATTGGATAGTTTCCTTATATATAACATTGTCCAATTTTAGCTCGAAAATTGATTAAACGAAACTTATTGCTTATAATATGAAAGATTGTAATTGAAAAAATAATACCAAAATTAGAGTCTTCAAAAAATGACGATGGAAGTTAAAAATTATTTTAATGAATGCAATTTAATTTGAATGTATTTTTAATTTTAAGATAAAATACAAGATTACTAATTTAGTGAATTGACGTTAAATTAGAACGTTTTAAGGAAATTTATTAATTTAATTGAACGATGAAATCTGCCTGAGGCAGGTATATTGCTCCAAAATTGTCTATTGGACCTGAATGATGATGTTAAATATTGATTAGAAAATAAGCTCGATTTAGATGATAAGATTGTAACTAATTATATAGATCATATTAATTATAAATTACATGTTAGGGTTTCGCGAGGAATAATCAAAAATGTTTACTGTATTATTGAGTAATTAAAGAACATATACACACCTTAATGAAATTATACTATTAAGTTTACTAATAACAATTGTAACAGATATCATTGATTTTTATGATGAAAAAATAGTAATTTCGTTCAACAGCTATAAAATTTTGTTGAGAAAGACATATATTCAATAATGATACTGATAGTCAAAAGCTTTTATTGAAAAATACTTCAATGTTTCATGTAAATAATTAATCTCATAGAATACTACTTTGCTTCATCTTTATCAAACCTAAATTATTAACTTTATGTTAGAAAACTTATTTTATTTTTAAATATTAAGTTATATTGTGTTTCCACTTTCTTCTTTTTACTTTTCATGGGTCGAAAATTATAATTATATATTTTTAATATGAGTGATTATTTTTTTTACATTGAAACAAATTTTCTATTTTTAAGTAATTGTACTGTTGGTGAATGTACAAAATCCACCATTAAAGCATTTCTTTTCATTTGAGCATAAGGTTTAAGCATTTCTTGACAATTATTTACATATTTGTACTGTAAATACTTCAACATACACAATAGATCATACAATCTATGAAAGTGAAAATTTATTCAATTCTTGAGACTACAAATTCTTGTGTTAATAATTGACAAATGATGAACATGCATGTTTAAATCACGTTCAATATCACACCTCAAGGTTATTACAATTGATAAGAATATGTTCATTATTGAAAAAATGAGCACTCCAGATAATCAAATGTTTTTGATATCTAATAAAATTATCTACAAAATTCATAATGCATTAAATATCGACTTAGTAATGGAAAAAGAATATTTCATGATTAAGTTGATAGAACTGGTTTACAACTAAATTATTAAAATTTTTTAAAATATTAATTTTTCGAAATATTGAAGATCTTGAGATTTCATTGATCGAGAAATCATTCTTTAAAAATAGTCAACGTAGTGATTAAAAGAATAAAAGATAAATCTAAACTGAGATTATAACTCATAATAGTAACAGACCATTTTAAACTTCAACTTCGTTAGAACTCTGCACGAATAATAAACTTATCTTTTAATAATAAATGAACAACTATTTATGTCTGTTTATATTTTTAATTTTTTTTTATAAATATTATATTTAACTAAATTTATTATAAACAATTAAAATAAAACTATCTAAATTTCTAAACAAAATTGAGTTTCTCAAGTAAAAATAACATTATGTCATCATCATTGAGAAATTCTCTGAAAGTTCCATGAAAGAAATTTGTTTAGACTGAAAAAATTTTCTATGACACTTATCACTCTGTCGTCAATATAAACAATAAACAATATAAATAATGTTTGTAATGATGCTACGCATGAGAGTCAAGGGCTAACAGGATGCAAATTGGTGAGTTGAACTATTTAGGCAAGTTCCTGACACATACAGGAAACGGAAGAGATATTTTTGAAATCGTCTTGTATATTTTTTAACCTTTTCAATAGATCAAGAAATATACCTGTGGCATTGGACTTGTGTTGACCAATCCTTTGTTGATTCTAGATATGATAAAATAGCTTTACCCATTTGTCTATTAATTAATCTATTTTAAATTCTCTATTGTTCCCATTTTATTACATGTATCATGACAATTTATTCAAAAAATTTTACTTTTTTTTATCGATAAAAATAAATCAATGTTAAATTTTAATACATGAATGAATTATTTTGTAACCTGTTTAAGAAAATAATAAAAAGATTAAATTAAGTAAAAAATACACACTCAAGAACGTATATCTTGAGTTGATAAGTGGAACGATTGTAGAGTAGTTTTAACTCAATGACTTTAATTGTTATAAGATGGTAAACAAGTGAAAAACAGATATATAACGTTTTGTTGTAAAAAACAATTAATATTTAATGAAATTTTTAATTGAAAAAAAAAATATACAATAATTAATAAATCTTGAACTTTATGTAATCTTACCGTTTCACTGACTCGGATATTTAACTCCACCACTGTTTTTTGCAGTTCACAATTATGTCTCTTGAGAAGAGCAATCTGAAAAAAGAATAACAGGTTTGGATATAAAATATTATATTGCGGTATTCAATGGGATGTAATATTATGTTTCACATTTTAAGCGATCAGAGAGAAGTAGATAAAGCAGGTAATATTAACACAAGCTTGTGTGATAGGCTGGCATCTAAAGTTTGTAACTACATTTCAGAGGAAGTCCGGTGGTTTGTTACGGCCAGGGACTGGGTGATGCGCGTCTCTATTTACTCTGTTTATCTTGAGTTTACATTGCGATAAATACCACTACCTAGTCATCTGAACGTATTTTCATTCGCCAGAATATATCCTGAATGCTTTGGTTTCTATCAGGGATCATACAAGGTACAACAACCAGATCCTTGGTTTTGAAATTTTTGTAATTCATGTTGTTACAGAAACTATGTAGTAAAATATGCACATGATTCATTAGAATAAATATCTAATTATTTGTATTTGAGTGGTTGGTGTCTAGGATTGGAATAGTTTTTGCTTGGTATTTCATTTGTTAAATTATTCAGACATGGACTGTATCAGCTACACAGATTATACATAAGTTCATACCAAAAAGTTGTACTCAAACATCACAAGTAGGATGGCTGAGAGCAATAAATTTTTAAAATTATAAAAAAATTAAAATATATTCAAATGTTTTTTATTCTTTAAAGCAAGATCTAGTTGATTGAAAAAGCATTAGAACGTTTAAGCTAATTAAAAAAAATAATTAGTGTTATTTTTTTTCCTTTTAACTTTTTTTGAATAATTGGAGCATTATAAACATTTATGCATTTTTATATAACCCAGTAACTAGCAAACTAAGTTAATCTGCAAGCTGCGCCGATTTTTTATTTTTGATATCGTCCTGGGAGTTAAAAAAAAATTAAAGGATTATGCCGTTTTCATGATATTGATTTTTGATAATCTTTTGAACAGCTGTATTTTTGTTTAAAAAAATACTGATAAGTCAAAAAGCATTTAGAAGCTTCTTTTAGAAATGATTAAAACTTTTTTTTCATTCTTCATACACCAGAATTTTTGTTTTTAAAGTTTTATTAATTAAAAATTTTTTTAAATATTGTTAATAAAAGTTGAAAAAAATTCAAAGAATCATTCATGACTTTCCCCGAATAATTACTCAATTACACTATATTCAAAGTAAAAACTGGATAAAATAGTAAAATTGAACTTGGCCATTATACTTTTTATCAGACGTTTTTAGCTTGAGAACATTACTTTTGATATGCTGAGAAATAATATTAAAAAAAAGAAGACAGAAGGCTGACTTTAAAGAAATGTTTTCTCTGTTTTATTTGCCAGCTTCTAAGATTAGATGCAAGTTAGATCTTTGTTTCTTCAAGAAACGACCATGCTCAGCACATTCAAGTAGTCAGATTACATATGCTCATATAAAATAGCTGACCAAGCAAGAGTCCTGGTTACTTTCTGAAGAATAGTATCAGCTACATGACAATTCGGTGGGATGTGAAAATTTATTGTAATATAAAGAAAACTTCTTTCAAGAAGAAATTAGGAATATTGATAATTCCTTTGTTATCTTCACAGTTCAGTTAGCACAGCCTTCATTTCAATAGATATTTTAACATCACATATCTTTTAACAAAGAAAACTCAAAAGCACCAAATTTACAGTAACATCAATAATTAGTGCTGTATTTAAATAAAAAAAAAATAATTTGATACGTTAAACACCCGAAAGTAATTAGACAATAATCAGCAAAACAAAAACTTAATAATTTTTTTAAATAATATATGTCTTAATAGTTATAAGTTATTTTTTTTATATTATTCTTAAAAAGGTAATTATTTCCAGTTTAGTAGTGAATAAACAGAGTAAATTACTCTTAATAATTAAATTTTTCTAAATCTTTACTTTCAAAGATGCATAAAAAACTTTTTCAATTTAATTGTTTCAGCTGGTACTGAAACTAAACACCTTTGTTATAACAACTAATGACTTTATGAGATACCCAAAATAAAATAATCCAAACATTTTGCAATTTTACTATTTTATAGTATGAATATTATCGATAGGATTAAAACTGATATACTCGTAGATAAGCTTATGTTTGATTTATAATAGTTAAGATTATAAGGAAAAGCAACATCTGTTAAAATAATTTCACGATGAGTAACCTTATTTTTATCATGACAATTTTTATCGTAACATATGTCAAAGAGACAATGAAAATTGGTAATGTCGCTATGAATTTTAGTAAATTATCAATAAAATAAAAATACAAGTATTTAAATATAATTATCGAGACAACAGTGTAGATATAAGTGATAATAACCAATGACTTTGTATCAAATAGAACAAATCTATACTTATGATGCTTTTGTAATTCAATAATGAATACCAATGATACCTTGGTAATTATACATCTGGTTAATTATAAACCGAAATAATGTTGATTACCTCAGCATCCTTGGAATTTAATAATTCCTGGAGCTCAGCACATTTTTCATTCGCTTCTTCCAGTTGTTTTGATCGATCATCTGGAATAAAAGTAAATATTATAGATTAAATACGTGTTTCAAAAATTTTTAAAATATCAGGGAAAATTGTTAACATTTATAACAAATAATAGAAAAATATCTATCTAATGGAATTGCGTTTGAAAAAAAAAAATAGTAATGATGTTGATCCTTTCACTTCGACTGTGTTTGAAGCTCGATTGATATTATGCGTCTTTTTTCAAGATCTTATCTGTTCCTGTTCGTTCATTGTTGAGACTATTTGATCACTATACTAACCGATTTGATTATGGTATTATTTTATAATATATAATCTTCAGAAAAAGATGCCAAGCATTAACTTTCTCTTATTCTTGTTATTATCACCATGATAGTGATGCAGGTTATCAATAATTATTGTCATTAGATGAGATACTTATTACAGATAAAGCAAGTTCGTCTCATAAAATTGCATTTTAAACTAATATTAGATATTTGTTAATTCAATCTATTGCACAATATAACAAGCTTTCGTTAAACAAATATTTTTGGTTATACAATATTATAATTGTTCCATTATTATTGATCTAACTGTCCAAGATTTAAACATTACTTGTTATTATTTTATTAAGTATTATTAGTAAAATTATAAAATTAATTCTTTAATCTAGTTTCATTTATAAATAGTAATAAAAATGGAAGACTAAAAAGAATTTGTAGATTTGTGCAAACTTGTCATTATATTCATTATTCATAACAATGATCAAATTTATGTAATCCTTCAGTTATAAGACAATTTTTTTTTTTAGAAATTTATGATAATTTCAACAATATTTATTCCAATTTCCCTCCACTTTAATGCGGTAAAACCTACCGATAAAGAAGAACAATATTTTGACAGTATCAATTAACCTGTTTGAAATACAAAGTAAACGATTTTGAATATATATAAAAATTTTAACATAGAAAATTACATTTACCTATTTCATTGACAATGCCTTCAGAAAGTACTTCTTTTGTAAAGTTCGTTATTTGTCCTTTTAAATTTGATAAACTAGAAAGACCATCTCCGAACCACGCCATTTTCCACGTAGATACTCAATATCAAACGTATTATATTTGATTGCAATATGTTATATTATTGCTTAAATAATTTCAAATATATTGACTTAATTAGACTAACTAATCATGATATTTTACAGAAGAAAACAAAAAATCACTTTTATGATGTAGAAAACATACACACGTCACTATACACAACATATACATATCAAAATTACAACGTATAGTAAAAATTTTTCCAGACGGTGATGTTTTTTTTTTTTTATAAACTGTTTTACCATGGTCAGCATTGATTTTTGCCGCCATCTATGATTGGTACAACTGTTGAAAGAATTTACAAATACCTGTTTTATTAATTGTCAGTCATTGTGAGAGGAAAATTTAATTTAAAAATTAATTTAAATTTACATTTTCATAAATTCATAAATCATGGCTTATTTAACCGATAATAAAGTTGATTATTTGATGCAAATTTGTTCATTAATATATAGTGAAATTTATTTAAGTTTTTATCATTCTCATTAGATTTATTTCGATCATTACAATAATAATATGCTATACATATAATGGCTTATACTGACAGTGTTCTCTGGCTAATGACATATAACGATTTAATCAATATAATAAATATTGTATTGAGTTAACATTTCGATGATCATTTTTGATAATAATTTTTTATGAGTACTACTTATAAAATCATTAATAAATTTAAAAAAAAATATATATTTCAATTGCAATAATTTTTTTTTATCAATAATTAATATATATTCACGAATTTACAATGGTGGTTTTATCGATAATTGGAAAATCAGTCATTACAAATTAATTATAATCAATAAGATCAAAAGTAAATGCAATATAGATCGAAAAAAAAATGGATTCAAAATAATTACAGATTTTCAATTAATGAAATACAATTATTGGCTTACACAAATAATTTACTTATCAAAATTAACATATTATTATAGTCAATTACAATTTATCAATATCAACGTTTGGAGCATAATGTTATAATTAACTTCAATAAAGTTTTATATTTTTTCTAGCAATGCATTTTATATTGACATGTTAATTAATATGTATAAATATCTAAAATAATAATAACCTATTAAAATTTTAGTCATCTCAATTTTTTAATCTATTTATATCCATTATTTACTTACTTAATTTACCAAAAACAATTAATGCCGATAAATGACCGTTACAAAAAAAAAAATTCCATTTTCCAAGGCATTGACATCTTCATCAATTTACGACCAAAAAAAGGGACTCATTCCAAAATGGATAGCCCGTACATTTATTAGTATTTCCCGTTTTAAAAGATAATTATGTAAAGAAAAAACTTGATTAGCCGAATCACCACTACCGAAAACCAGGTTGACTTAAGACCAGTTGACCCAGTTCCACTATAGTGTCAACGGCACGTTAAGAGAGAATGGAGAAGAAAAAAGTCATGTAACCAGAGAAGCCTCATAGCAGTCTTTAAGTATCATCAAAGTATCGAAAGGGATAGCTGGCACGCGGCTGTGATCTGAAACGATGAAAGGAAGGTTGAGGATCGTGTATGGAGTTCAAGGGAGAATAACATTTTACTATGCTGTGCTCATACCCAGTGCCGAGTACATATTGGGTGAGCCCTGAACATGCTGGAATTTATGTTTACTCAAGTCATGTTAGTCAAGAAATTTGCAGGTAAATACATCAATCAGAATACCGATTTACATTGCCAAATTAGTGAAGTCAGCAAATTATGGTTAGAAAGCACAGTTTATAGACATAAACTCGGCTGGAAAGTTAGAGACTAACAGAATAATGATAAAAAGGGATAATCAAGTATGAAGAAAGATCTAAGTACAGGTAAATCCGGTACTGTGACTTGCTATCGCGATGAACCGAGAAAGCGAACAATATCAAACAAGTTGTGAAACTGAGCAAGACGGAGGACACACGTCGTGGAAAGGAAAGGCGAAGAAAAGGAAGGCGGACAAGGCAAAGGCATATTCGAATCCTCTGCTTGACTCGCTTCAGTCCGATCCAAGCAACTGCTTCGGTCAGTTACCACGCAGTCGCGGCGTTAAACGGCGTCCCGGTTGCGCCTTCAGTTGGCGCGCTTCATTCTATCTAACCATCATTCATTACTTAACATCATTATTCACCAGACATTTTTACTATTTCCCGCTATTCACATCGTCATCCACGTTCTCAAAACAATTATTGTCATGCTGCAGTGTTTTGGAAGTGTTCATTTGATTGTTTCAGTTGAGTAAGATTTTTTGCTGAAAAAAAGGTGCAATATTGTGAAGACTTCTTTTTAAAACTTCATTCAAAGTCGTTCTTGTTGTTTATTTGTTATCATGGGGTTATAAGCGGTGAGTATTCTTTACAGTTCACTTTTTTGTGTGAGTTATCATTTTTAGGTTTTTTTTTCTTTTCTTTTTTTCTTTGTGAAGTAATTTTATTTTATGTATTCTTGTGGTGATGGTGAATATATCGTAAACAGAATATTTAACTCGAAACAAAGAGTTGTCAAGTAGTGAATCGTTTAAAAAGATGTTGATGAAAAAATAAATATTTAAAAAATGATAGTATTAATGATTATTATCGTTAGGATTAACCATAAGGAAGAACTTTTTTTTCTTAACAATTCATTACGAATCCTTAATAGATCACTTTACGCACTGAGGAATTTTTTTCCATCTAAAAAAATCATTCTCTACTCACCGTGAACTATTAAAGACTAAATTACTGTAATTTTCACGATTTTTCAAGAAAGAGAATAATTATATTGTACTTTTTTTTTTTTAATAAAAAAAACCCAAGATCAACAACTTAATTATTTTTTCAGTAAAAAAAAAAAATTGCCCTTTTTTTTCTTGTGTAAATATTTATAATTATATCAATTGTTTACATAGTTTTTAATTCAAAATGTATGTAGATCCGGTTAGATATCTTGGATATCTGTTTTTACAATAAGCATACTACGTACGTGCTTGTCTTAGAGTTGTAAAGCACATCCGGAAAGGTAAAGTCACATCCATGTAGTATATGTGGTAGGTTTGCCTTTATTTACGAATCAATGTCGAGGTTATTCTTTTCTCAGTATTGTTTGATTTCTTAAATACTTGAATTCGTTTCTTATTATCAGATATTGTGTCGGAAAAACTAATGTCACTAATTATCTAGCAAATTAATAGAAACTTACTCATGAGAAATTTTTTTTAACTGATCAGACAGAACATTTACCACAAAAAAAAGAGAGATTCATTCATTTAAGAAAATTAATCTCTGTAAAATAAGTGACCTTGAGAGAAATTCACTCCAGTGAAAGATTGATAGCACAATTTTTTTTAATCCAAAAATATGCAAATATTGTTTTATATTACAACAATATCAATAATTTAATATTTATATTAGTTTTTGTACATGCAAAAAAAAATTGACTTTAATGTTTCAATTTGTTTCTAAACACTAGTGGTTGGTTATCAGTGTTACATGTATCATTAAGAAATAAGTTAAAGTGAAGAAAATGAATATCTTATCAATAATTAATTCTAATGAATTACTCTCAAGTTATTTCTTGCTATTTATTCAAAGATGTATGTAGTATTCATATGGTTTTCTTTCTACACATGCCATGTAAGTAATGTAATGTTTTTATTTATAAGTAGCTAAATAATTTAGTAATAATAGTTGAAGATGTACACTAACATATATCGTTTCTATGTTTTATTTAGCGAAACAATATAGTGTGGTTCTGTGTAAAAGAGATGAGAGTATTCACCAACAACCTGCACTTTTCTCGCGATTCACGCTTGAGTATTCGTATAATAACAAACGGGCCGGAAACAAGGGGCTTAGAGAATTCATCGCTACAGGATTCCCGTACTTTAGATGCAGGATATACGAAGTGTATTTGATTAATTAGTCGCGGCAGAATGTGCAATTTTATTAACTTGAATAGTATGTTTCATTGATAAAAAAAAATAATTGAAATGATTATAAAAAAGCTCGATAGATTCTTTGAAATTTTTGCTACTTACTAAAATTGCTATTATAAATGAAATTCCAGAAAAATTAAGGAAATTGTTCTGCATGTATTTATGTCTCAAAATTAAATTAACTTTCTCCAGTTCATCACAAATATTTTATTGATAAATTTTTTTTATAAAATATGAATATAATGCTACTTGTGATTATTTGCAAATTATTAATTTATATTTTTTAAGTTGATTCAAACAATTTTTTTTTATTAAGAAAAAAATGAAATGAACTGGTTATGCACAACTTGCTTTATGACTTCTAAATCTGAAAGTGAAATTCAGCATAGATGCTTCCAATTTACTTTCTTTATTTCTATATAAAAAAAATTTTGCTGTAATACTCAGATTGTTTCTGTTTGAAAAAATTTCCTGAAATGTTTAATAATTTTGGCTCATTTTGAAAAATTATTAATGGACTACTTGATAATAACTTTATAAATAAGTTTATCACAATCAACAAATCCGAATCCATTTTAATAAATTCGAATAGATTTAAAACTTTTTATGGTATTAAACATTCAAGAGTTTAAAAAATAACTGAATAATTGAATCTAAAAATGATTACTGTATGAAAACAATACCCACACGGAAATCCAATGTATCCATAATGTATCTAAGAGATATATGAAATATATCTAGATACATAAAAATCGGCCAAAAGGATAATAACCCAAATATATCCCGGATATATTTTGGATATATTTCATATATCTCTTAGAGACATTATGGATGCATTGGATGTCCGTGTAGGTTGTAGTTGCATAAGAGAAGTACCTGGGTTACAACAATATCGCCATAAATACAGGCTAACAACAGCTCTGATTGCAGTGGTGAAATTGGCATAGTCATTTCGTAAAATATTATTAATAATAAATAAAATTTACAACACTTTTGGCCGATTTTTATGTATTTAGAATATATCCCAGTAATAAAAAAGATATATTTAAGATACTAACAGAATGTATCTTAATAATAAACTAAATAAATTAGTGATGTGTGGAGAAAAAAAACAGTTTTGTGTAACTAGAAATTGATGATGAGTGAAAATAAACTGTTAGAAAATTAAGTATATATTTATAACTATTGAATATTTATTAATCAAGATGATATTCGATTTAAAATAATTTATTGTATTGAATCCCGAGTAAAAATGATCAGTTTTTGGGCGATTCGAGCCCCTAATTTTCTTTTTATTTTTAAAAATTTATTTAGAATTTATAAAAACAAAACAAAAGAAATGAATAACAAAAGAAATGAATAACAAAAGAAATGAATAACAAAAGAATGTATAATGGTTGCCTAATTTTTATCGAAAAGAATAAGATTAACTTTTTTTTAAAGTTGATTCGTTTTAAGAAGTTGATTTTAATTTTTTACCTTAATTTTTTGAGTTATTAACTTCCCATTAGGAAGTTATTGTAATTGGGTCGATTGGTGAAATTTGAATTTTCATTAAATCTCCACGTTTCAAGATATTTGCAAGCATACTGACATATTTTTAGAATGATGTGTATGTGTACATATGTATGTTTGTATGTATGTACGGACGTCAGCATTTTTTTCGTTTTCGATATCTTAAGAACGGATCAAGATATCAACTTCAACCAAAATTAATTCGAAAGATATTATTATAAAGAAGACTTGAAAGAAATTTGAACGAATTCGATAGAGCCGTTTTTTTTTATAACAAAATAACTAATAAAAAAATGAAAAGATTAGCTATTTAAAATACTTTTAAGCCAAACAATAACAATTTCATTTAAAAATTAAGTCGATATTAACTAGACATTATTTTTCACAACCAAATATGACTCTTAACAATTACGCATTGTTTATAACAATATGAATTTGTTATAAACAATTGAAAATTGTATTTATTGAATAAGTAATGTGTATATCTCATGTATTTGGATGTTTTCAACAAACATTGATTACAACTATTTAAATTTGTTATAAACAATTACTAATGGGAAGTTCGTCGTGTTAGCACAGACAAAGTGTGCTCAGACCTATTTTTTACAATTATCTTCTATCATATATAAAAACATCTGCTACTTTTTTTATAGTTGGATGGGTTTTAGGATTCATTAGTAATCCTAAAACAATAAATTACTCCATACGAAATCATATTACATGTAAAATAGTTCTATGTTGGAAATGATTCATGATAATTTTGCAAAAGTGGATCTTCACCAATACTGATGCTTAATCTTCTTCTAAGATTTGTTGAGCACTTTAATGATTAAATTATTCAGAGCAAAATAGATACTGAAAAATAATGACTTTTTTAATTGAATAAATTATTCAATGACACTTTCTAAGCTTACTTGAATTGGTAGGAATACTCAGTGTAGTTGCACTGTATAATCACTGTTTAATCAACACATAAGCATTTGACTGTAGAATAAAGAAAAACAGCGTTTATTTGAATCAGTGGAAATCAAAAGTAATGATAAAATCAGTAAAACCTTGTGAAATTACCGCCTAATCATTGTGGTAGTGAGTATCAAATAGATCTAATGATAAAGCAGCAGTTTTCAACTGTGTTACTTTGATTAGTGGTAATCAACAACTTTATTAAAATTTGTATTATAAAGGCTAATTTCACACCAAGCTAATGAAAATAATTGACGAGGAAAATGATAAGGATAATAATGGTATAGTAGAATTGGAGTAAGATTTAATAAAAAAGATGAGGCGCTGATATATCTATAGTTAGATAATTGACATCGGTCAAAGAAACGGTTGTTGACAATTTAATAAATAGTTAGACAACCTAACCGGAATATGAGTGAATATAAGTACAGAGACAAGTTGTCTTCATTAATTAATGTAGAAATTTTTTAAGATGTCATTAAAAAATTTTCATTTATTGCTATCATTACTATATAATTTTTATCATTATAAAGTTAAAATTAATATTAAATTATAATGACGATGGAGAAATTAATTTAATTTTGAATAAATGAAAAATGCAATTGATATAGTATTTTTTTTAGAATCCAGAATTATTTAATTTAATTATTTATTATTTACTTAATTTTGCTATTATACTTTAACTCTTTAAATCTTTCGTGTTCCTTTCCCACAAGTGGTGTTAAAAAAGAATAGAAAATAGTAAATCATTAATGTTAAATTTTGTATCAAAAGGGGTAATTTTACCATTTCAATGTTTTCATTTTTTAAGATAAAGATAAATTTAAGAATAAAAATTATGAGATTCTTGACGAGTATATTCCTTATTTTTGATTAACTGTTTTTGTTGCGATTGACTGTCTAACATGGTATTCCCTTTCAAATTTTCGTATCTTAATTCAGTTGAAACAGTTTGATTTGCATGCTCTGTAAAATTTGATGAAATTTTTGGAATTGATTCTTGAGCATAAACTATATCAGAGATATCTTCGTACATTGGTTCAGTAGCAATCATTTCAGTCACGCATTTTCGAGAATTCGATAGAGATTTTAGAATTGATTCTCGAACATCAACTAACATATGAGAAGTATCATCTTCTAAATTGGGATGATTAGACTTATTGTTCTTAGTTTTTAATGGGAATAGAATGAACTTGAATTGATTCTGTTATTTCATCGTTTTTTTCTTCATTCAGATACTCTTGACGTCTGTAAATTATGTATTAATTGTAATTATTCAAGTCATCATTTTTTTAAGAATATGATAGATTGATAAAACATACCTTCTTTTGCGTAAACAATAGTACGTAGTTCCACAAGTGATGAAAAGTGCTAGAACAAGTGGTATTGCCCATGATTCATGATAATGTATTTTTGATCTTTCGTGACCATTTTCTAGTGGGTCTTCCCTCATAAAGATGGGTTCAGATTGCCAGAAAAGCAGTGGAGCTGTTGCGTTCGTATTCAGATGCATTTTTCCATATACCAATAAAAAAATGACGTAGGTTCTATCTATGTCCAAAAAACAATTTGACACAGAGTCATAAGCCTGATCATTTCCAGTAGTGAATGACAGATTGGCTGTTTTAGGTGTCTTCAAAATTATATTTTGATTATTAGTATTTATTTCATCGAAGAATATTTAATTAAAAATTAATAAATGGTGAACTCACCGGAAAGGTAGCCAAATTCCAAGCTTCTTGATGATAATCAATTTGAATATCTTTCATCATCTGTTCACTCAATATTTCTCCATGGTCACAAAAAGAACGTCCTTTGATAATAATATGAAGTTGACTATCCTTTGTATTATTTATCACTGGTGGAATAACAATATTAATTGAAGGATGGTTAAAATCCATAACAGGATGTGGTTCATACTGAAAGTCTAAAGCATTATTTGTTTTTAAAATTTTAGTTGATAATATTCCCTTCTGCATTAATGTTTCTCCTTGAAGAAATATTTTATAACGTGTTGATGGTAACAGGTACAAGTGAGTAGAATACTCAGATTCATATTTATTAATTAGAATTGTTTTAATTTGGCGGTATTTTAAATTTCGATTTTCTTCTAATTCGCAGTGGAGTATCTGAAAATGAATTGAAAATTTTTTTAATGGTCCTCCAGTGACAGATGGATGCTGCCATTTTAGATCTATTGCTCCTCGACCGACTTCCGTTATTGAAATAATTTCAGGTTGTTCTGGAACTGTATATTTAAAATTTTTATATTAAAAAATTTTCATCTAAATTTAAATTAATTGCAAATCTTACCTTGTTCTTCACGATTATCATCGATTATAACTGATTCACCTGGATCATTGACTTTTTTATTGTAAGCTTTTACCTATCAAGGTGAAAATCATTTATTGTTTAATTTTTAATCAACTTCTGTTTTTAATTTATGAAAATTTGAACTCACCTCTATAGATTGCTTAATTGAGAGATCTGGATGAGGGACAGTTTTACAAAATGAATTTTTCCAAAGATAGCAAGTTTCATTAAGATATACTTTAACTTCATCTAGAAATGTTGCATTGTTCAACAAGAATCTGATGCTATAATAATCAAGTTCACCATTCATTGGAAGTAAAGGTGGTTGCCATCTTAAGGTAGTGGTTGATTCATCTACTTCTACAATTTGGAGATTTCGAACTTTGGGTGGAGCTGCATAAATAAATGATGACCATCAATAAAAAATTTCTATAATTGTTGTGGAAAATATGATACCTACGGCTTGGGTCAGTAATTAAATGAATATCAATGTAAGCAGAAGTATCTATAGATTGGCTAAGTTCGTGTAGTACATAAATTTTAGCTTGAGTCCATAAGTTTGCAGAGTTTTCAAATTTAAAAAGCGTGCTTCAATGTCATATGAAGAAGAAAAGTTTCTGACATTTTCACTTATTCCAGTTATAATAACTCGAGAACCTCGGATCGGACCAGTGATTGTTTGACAATCAGCTGGATCATTCGAAGTTATGATATTAAGTGAGAACTTTACATTGGTAAAAATTTCGGAAGGTATATCTGGAAAAATATTCCAATTTGTTTTAATTCGTGAAATCTATCTTACAAGAAAAAAAGAAGAAATAACTTTTACCTCGAGGTTTGGTACTGAAAACAAGGCTACTTTTATTCCCCATTTTAGAGTTAAATGCTGTTACTGTAATTTCATAAGAAACGTAAGGTACCAAGTCCGTTAAATTATATGATATTTTAGCACTGAGAGGAATGTTTGGATAAACTTTTTTAATTCTTAAATTTTCCGGAGTGTTCTCTCTCTTTTCACAGCCTATGTAATATAACACTTCGATAGTAAGGTCGTAACCTTTTAGAATACCATTCAGTGATTTTGGAGAACTCCAAGTGATTTCGGCTTTGGTTTCTGTGATGGATTTTACCTGTAAGTTTGCTACTGGTGATGGGGCTGAAAAACAATGTATGCAATTATATTGAATATTTAAATTTACTATTTAGAACAATACCTGCTTCGAGAGTTGATGATATTTGGCATATTTGGAATTTATTATCTCTACCGTTTACGCATACTTGATATTTTGTAAACGGGTGTAGTTTTGATAAAGTGATTGGAAATTCAGTTTTGGCATTATTTTTATTTACTAGACGTGATTCATTTGTTGCTGATGATATCGTTGATAAATTAAATAAATACCACGAATCTGGGCAAGAATAAGTTTCCTAAAAAGAGATGTGTTTTAAAGAGAGAAATCTAGAAAAATTCAGTCAATAATTCATACTTCTCCAGATATTTTTTCTATCAATAAACTCGTTTCATCTGGTGTTATTTTGAATTTCTCACTCCCTAAAAATATGGTGAAGAATTAATTAATAAAAAGAGCTTTTTCACTAACAATGAGAATTCTTTGACTTACAATTGCATAGTGTTACAAATGTAAAAGAATTTCCTACAATTCTTTTAATTGATTTCATCTCAAGCTGTACGTATGTTATTGCTTTTACTGAATATTTTTCTCCAGGTAACAATTCACTGAAAATAGTGTAATAAATATTTTTTTCAGTACCATTATTAGTTATTACACCATTTTTAGCAACTTTTTTAAAAATATCACCCGACTCGGTCTGAAAAAAAGTTTTAACTTTTAATAACTTAAGAATAAAATCAAAAATTGTAATTGTACCTCAACTTCAAATTCAAATGTTGCATTGATGGTTTTATAAATTTCTTCTTCATGTAGATAAACTCGAGCACTTGTAATTTTTAATTCATCAACAAATGGTATTAATAGATCTTCAATCGCTAAAGTAAATAAAAAGAATTCATATTTATAAAATATTCAATATTTATTAAATTAGACATAAATAATTAAGTTGATGGTCAAAAGAGAAGATAAAGATTTACCAATATTACAGAGGGGCAGTACATGAAATCCCGAAAGAGTTGATTTACATCCTAGATCACATTTACCAGTATAATGGTCACATTTGTCATCAGTACAATTGGTACATTTTTTTGAACATCCAAAACCATATGATCCAGAGTTACATTCTAAAAAGAAAGACATAATCAACTGAATAATAGAATATCAATCATTTTGAATACTTACTATCTTCACACTTAGAGCCTTGCCATCCTTGAACACATGAACAACCATTCTCCGTACATGCTTTTACACCAGCACAATCATTTTGGAAAAACGAATTGCACTTGACTGTACAGTTTGGTCCAATATTGTAATTTTGACAATTTTCCAAATCGTTTAAATTCGTTAAAGAATTGCTAAAAGCTGCTACAATTTCTGATTTTGGTTCATCATAAGATAGTTTTTGACAAAAAACAGAGTTCCAGATACAATCTCTACTACAATATACTTCTCCTTCTAATTCAATTATCTTAATGGTTCCTGTAATTATGAACACATCTAAATTATTGGCTATTTAATGGTGCTATATCGACCACTCCCACCGTTAAAAGGTTAATGAAGATAATAAAAATTCTTTAGAATAAATAAAATATTGAATCACCTTCTGGAAAACAATGCTCGAACTTGGTAATTGCCCAGTGATTTTTACTTCCATCGATGAATTCTGGAATGACAAATGTCATCAATTCAAGTGTGATGGGAGTAAGATAATCAGAAATGTCCGTTTCTTCAATTCTTTCATTTTGCCACATGGGTAGATCATGTTCAATGTTATCATATTTTGATGATCTTCTGATTTTTTTTGTCATTCGTCTGTTTCCTGATCCGTCCACGATATTTACAATCAGTTCACAATGTTTACATAAACCCACTAGCATGTCGATACATAGTTTTTGAAAATTTCCTAATATCAATGGAGAGCTTTTGAGAATAGCACCTGGGTCTTTTGTTAGAGTGTAGGAATCTAGTTTTTATGATTGGAAAGTGTAAATTCATGTAAATAGTAAATTAATTAGGATAAAAATGAATTAATTAATTTAAAACAATTCTTACAGTCGTGATAACGAAATAACATTTTACGTGTTGAATTTCTGTAAAATATGTGGTAAATCTTATTGGCATTTCTGTATACAGAATCATGATCACTGTAAGACAAAATCTTTTCATCAGGATCAAATAATTCGATTGTGCGAGTTCTTTCCTCCCATTTTAGTAAAAATGTGTTCCATCCATCATATTGAAATGTCTTCTGTAAAAAATTTTATGATCCATGTTAATTTTTATGGCTAAATGATATTTTTTTTCACAATAAAAGTTGAATTTATTTTTTTTAGCGCAACAAAAAATTATTTACTACTTCATTTCCATTTTGACTCTGTACAGGAACACAAGTAGAAGCATCTGACATGCCATTATTACATTTTTTTATCTCAGCAGTCATTGAACTATGTTTAACCGTAATATCGTAACAAAAATCATTGTTAAAGTCTTCTGATTCACATATTATTATTTGAGCATTGGATAATCCTCTGATGGAAAATGCGAAACTACCACTTGCTCCAAACGTGAGAACAGTATTAGCTATATCTTTTATTAAGCTTATAGGTTCAAAATTTCCTGTTCCACTCAATTCTGTAAAATCTTTTAAGCAACAAAAATATTTAGAAAACATTTAAAATTTTACTGGTTTTAAAATCTGCAAAAATCTTGATTCTGCACAAATTCGTTCTAGCACAATAATTGAACATCATAGAACAAGCTAGATAATCTTTCATGAAAAAACACATTTTTGAATTCAAGCAAATAAAATCTGGTCCAGGTGCAATCAGGTGGGTCTACACGACTAATTCACCAGCTGGGAAGCTAGTAAAGAGTAACAAAAATAAAGAAAAAACAAAAAAACATTCATGAATTGTGAAAATCGACTAGTTTGCCTCTTTTTAGTTTTTCTATTTTGTGCAAAAAATAGCTGGACCGATTTTACTCAAAATTTGATCAATTTTAACCTACATAATTATGCATTAAATGAAACTGGTCCCATGTCAACATTATTGGTTCTCGAGATACCCGAGACGAAAATTGATTCCGAACATACATGTGTACACACGGATATCCCCTTAAAAGTCATAGCGTTTAACTGAAGGGATCTTGAAACGTAAAGATATATCAAAATTTAGAATTTGCAAAATGGGATCCATAACAATAACTTCTCACTAGAATGTTAAAAATATAGAACTTACCTTCCCAACGACTGTCGTAAACTGGGCCCATGGGGACATCAAAAGAATTTACAATACTCCAATTACTACCTTGTTGACTCCATAATGAAAGACATTCCTTATCTACATTAACTCTGCATTGCTGTTTGTAATTAATTGGAAATTTTGAATCTATTTTTCAAAAATGAAATATTAGTATGGATACTTATTAAAAATTTTAAACAAGTGAAATGTGCAATAATGATATGAGTAATCTTTAATACATCTGATTACCTCTAAATTCTGTTTTTTTTTCTTTGATTTCAAAAGTGATCCCACCATTATCAATTATATTCCATATAAATGCGTCTCTCGATTCGCTATTAATACATATCAATTTTCGTGATATTCTGGATAATTGGTATGTAGAATATTCATCATACTTGTCCGCCATCAAAAACTCCGATTCACTTTCAAAAACCAACAATGGACTAGTCCATACCAATTGAATAAATAGATTTATAATAAGAAAAAAATTAGAATCCATCTTAATAAATTCAAATAGATTTTTAACACTTCATAGTCCCGAACTCTCGAAAGTTTAAAAACTAACTAAATACTTCAATGAAAAAAATGACTGTGGTGTAGGAAGATTAATCTTCCTGTTGCAGATTACGTGATCGTCATTGAAACACAAAAGACAAACTTTTTTCTCTCGGAAGTGATAAAAAAGTTTTATTTCATTCATATATTAATTTCATGTTATCAAATGAATGTTTGACACTTCTGTATGAAATTGAATAAAATTATTATTGAACTCAAAAATTCAGAATGGAATGTCCTCACGGTCTGAAAAACTTTCTGAGACTGAGTCTCATTCATCGCTATATTAAAATATATAAGAGATCTTAAAAGTTTTTAATAATTATAAATACTATCGCGAACTACAATTAAGATTCTAAGAAAAAATAATATCAACTTAATTTGATACATACTCCCATACTGAAACTCATCATAAATAAAACGTCTGTTTATACACTGCAATAAGTAATATAATCACTCAAAAAAAGTTTTATCTTCAAGATGATTCATAGTAATTCTAAAAAAGTTGGGTCTTAATCTTTTCCAGTGATGTGGTGACTGAACTGAAAACGAATTGGTGATGAAAATAATCATAATATTATTTACATTTTTGTATCGAATATTATAAAAAAAATGTTGCTGATAATCAGGATAATAATGGTATAGTAAAATTGGAGTAAAATTTAATAAAAAAATAAGGTACTGATAAAGTTAGATAATTAACATCGGTCAAAGAAACAATTGTCGACACTTTATAATTACAATGAAAGAATTGATTTAATTTTGAATAAATGAAAAATGAAATTGCTTTAGTACTTTTTTTGAAATTCAGAATTTCACATACCCTACACTGAGAAAAAATTTACTTCATACAAGAAATATTTCATTCGATCATTAACATCGAAATTTCAAATAGTTGCAATAAAATATTTCTTCGAAATTATGAATATTTGATTGAAATCATTTTATTTACTCAAATGAATAAAATGTTATTCGTTTTTATTCTTGTTGTAACCTTGAAAATTTGTTTTCAAACTTGTCGCAACATTGAAACGAAAGACAAAATGTGTTTCTGATAACACTACTATTAGTCTGAATAAAATATTATCTTTAGAATACTTCAAATTTCTTTTATTGATTGAATAAAAAATTCTTTCATTTAACGACATTTTTTTCTCAGTGTCGTAGTACAGTCCATTTGCAACACAACATTCTTTTAAGGCATTTCAAAATTTTTTGATTATCTTATAAAAGAATTGCAGACATCTTCTTGCAAATTTACTAAAGAAGCTGGTATCATTTCTTCAGTTAAAGGGAATTATAATAAAAAAATAATTTTGAGTCAAAATATTCAATTGACTCAGTAAACTAAACTAAAGTAAATTCGGACTCAGTCGTTTTTCCTCGCTTTCAAGTTTGCTGAATGAAGAAGTATTGATAAAAAAAAAATTTATTAGAAGACGTTGTAACGCTGCAGCTCAAAAAGCATTAGGGCTTTTCCCTTGTAGTGTAATTTATGCCGTAAAAGCATATTATGTGATCTATCTAGCATTAATTAAACTAGATTTCGTCAACTACTAATAAATTTACCTATCAATTCAGTGTTATTTTTGAAATGGATCAACTTTTTTATAGACTTGTATAAACCTTTTGAATTATTAACTTCCCAGTGGGAAGTTATGGTAATGGGTCTGATTTTGTGAATCTTAAATTTTGACATATCTCTACGTTTCAAGGTCCCCAGAGTCGAATACAATAATTTTTAAGTAGACGTCTGTGTGTGTACGTATGTTCGTACCATTTATTCCAGTTTTTTGATTCTGCATAAAAAATAGCTGGACCGATTTTGCTGGAAACCTAATCAGTTCTAAGTTGCGTCATTATACATCGATTGCGAATTGACCTCACGTCCATATCATTTTTTGTTCTCGATATAATCGAAACGAAAATTGAATCCAAACATACATACACACACCGACATCCTCTTAAAAATCATAGTATTTGATCCTAAAGATTTTGAAACGTGGAGATATATTACAATTTTCAAAATCGGACCCATTACAATAACTTCCCACTAGGAAATTAAGAAAATTTTTTCATTGTTTCCACTGAGAAGTTGGTCGTGTGTACCTTTCGAATCGCACCCAGACCACCCTGGAGCTGATATTTTTACAGTTTCTTTCTTATAAAAAGAAACGGCTGTACCGAATTTGTTTAAACTTCTTTCGGATGTTTTGATTGTAACACGAATTTTTAAACAACTCATACTTCTCATCCCCAGTTGCGATATGATACCTCCTTTTCAACTTCTCATCATCAAGTAATTGTCGTAGGGTTCATTTTTGAAATTCATAATTTTGTCATATCTATAGGTTTTAAAACATTCATAAACATTAAAAGGTTCAAAAATGAATGTATGCATTTATATACTTACGTACGTACATATGTACGCACGCATGTACGTACGTATGTTAGATTTGTTTTTGTTTTCGATCTCTCGAGAATATTTTATTCAACTTTGTAAAAGGTTTAAGTATCTCTAAATTTAACAAAATAATAAATCAATAAAAGTGAATAGACAAAAATGTGATTGAAATGAGTCACAATTTGACGAACTTAGTATGTTAATGTGGTTGATCACTCGTTGATGCAATGGAGAAAATTTATAAAATAGATAGAGGTATCTTTTTCATCAAAAATTAATGAGATGTCTGGCGAGAGGCAAGTGACGAAATCTACCACAACATGTTCTGGCTTCTTAATACCTCTAATACAAAGGAAGATAATAATATGAAAAGAAAGAATATAAACCTCTAGTAGATACTAGTACACGTGTGTCTCCGTACAGCGTGAAGAATTGTATACGAGATGTAATATAACGAAAGCACTCGACTGTTCTAACGGTATAAATGACTAATATAACGGAAGGGAGAGTTATATTACCGAGATATACGTTTATTAGGATACAAACAGAATCCAAAAGACGACAGACTATGGAGTTGGAGTGAAAAACTATAAATATTGAATCGTTGTATGCTTTTAGCGGTGCATATTTAACTATAAAAAGTGCTTTATAGACTGCATTAGCAGTTAAATTATTCAATTTTATAATTCTCTTTTTGGAAATGAACAAAATTGAAATGATTTGTTTATATTTTATGAGATTTATTTTATTTCAAATTACGGAATCGATTGCCGAAAATTTTTATGTTCAAAGAGCCTTTTTTTTGTAAAAATATAATGTATTAAATTATCATGAAATCTTCATGAGCGATGTGATTAATTAAATACTTTATAATGGTGAGTAAAATAAATATTCAAAAAGATGTATTAAAGTCAAATACACAATTAGTTACAATCATAATAAAAAAAAGTCTTCATTTTTATTTTTATAAACTATGAAAAACTCATTTTCTCATCATTATCGCATTATAGATATTTTGTAACGGTTATTCATACAGTAAAAGTTGTCTATTGATGAATACACGTTTCATGAAGCACTAAAAACTTATATTCTTCAGCTGCATAACTTATAGATGATAATGCATGACTATTGTAGTCTAGTCAATCCGGCAAGAAATACTTCATCATAATTTTTTTGAAAAAAAGTCCATTTCAATTTTTGTTGCTAGCAAAAATGTGTGATGATAGTTAGAAAAAATTATTAATTCAAATAAATGCACTTATTGTTAAAAAAAAATTATTCCCGCATATCTAAGCAAGCCAGCATGGTGATTCCGGGAAAATTTAAGTGTTTAGTAATAAAACACCTAAGTGTTTACAATACAATTTAAATACCATAAACAAACTATAGTATTTTGGTAAACAGCAAGGAACGTTTAAAATTCGTCTACAAAATTACTAAAGCTCGTTTATGACGTTAAGAGTAGTAGACACTTGAAATGTTTAGTTTTCTAAACACTTAGATTTACAGGGAGTAGATCGAAACCCACTGATGATCGAAGGGTGTCACGATATTAAGTAAAGTAATAACATGAAAAGCTTTTAGTAGTTCAAATCACAAGGTTTTTACCAGATGAAGAGGCACTCGGAGGATCATGCACAAATAAAGACTTGAGATAAAATTGACTGGACGATAATTAAGGAGAAAGGACTAAATCGAGTACAATAGGGAACTCGAAGGAAAAACAGGCTCCAATTAAAGGAGGCAAGATGAGAAGTAATGGCTGGATTTCTTTACAGCTAATAGTAATAAAATGGGGAAAAATGTTTCGTACTTGTTTATCTAACAATATTGCAAACACTTTAAATATTTATTTTCTAAACAATTAGATTTACAGTGAGCACTTTCGACTACATTTTGCAATGGATGATGTTATCGTTAATACTAGAGCCAATGCATTTTTAAAAAAAAATCTTAATTTTATTGTTGTATACTCTTAATTATTTATTTATATTTTAGCAATATTTCCATATCAATTTCCCAGTATGAAGTAAGTGTAAAAGATCTGATTTTTTAATGTCCAAATTTTGACATATTTGGACGTTTTAAAATTTTTCAAAGTCAGATGATATGGTTTTCAGAAAGATGTCGTGATGTGTATATGTGTTTGCTGTTAATTTTCGTCTTGTGTATCTCAAGAACAAATAATGATATCGTCATGGAACCAGTTTCATTCAATGTATAATTATGTAATTAGAACTTGATTAAGTTTTTATTAAAACCAGCTTTAACATGTGCAGAAAATAAGATAATTGACTTGAAAATAAATTAAGACAAATGATATTGATTTTAAAATATGAATGCATATATTTTCTGTTTGCTTGCTGAAGACTAACTAATTCAAAAGAATAAAATTAATACATAATTTATCATATTTAATGTGAACGATTTATATGTATTATTAGAACAATTCATTTTATTTATATAATATTGAATTTAAAAAAACAAAGTATATAAATAAAACTACAATATTTGTAGCATAAATGATTTGATAAAATTTATTGAAAAAAATAAATCTGTTGGGTTTTAAAATTTATGGTCACAATAATTTTTTTGTTTTACTACTCCCCGAACAACAACAGATTAAAAAATATTGTCAATAATAATTAAATATTGTTACAAAAATAATGACACTTTTTTTTCTATCTTTTCCCTAAGTTTTACTCAGATGTTTATTGTGTGGACCTCTTCAATTGCATCCAGACCAATATTCTTTTATTTCTATTTTTAGATCCTTCAAGAAAATTTCGTTATATCGAATAATAAGGTAGTTTCATTGATTAGTTGGACATAAATTAGTTAAAATAACTTTTGGATAAAATGTCTGTGTCAAATGTCATGATCTCCAGTCTCTCTTTGACAACCCTTATAGAAAGTAAGGGTGACTTATTTCTGGTTTAACATTTGACTAAGGTTAGCTGAATTACCTAAGTGTTAAGCTAGGAATAAACCAGTTTTGCTTCTTACGCGCAGAGAAATGTATAGTAAAAATTACCTTGAATTTTGATTAAATAATAATTAAAATGCTTTTTACTTACTATTTTAATTTACAAATATTATAGAATTTTTATTTACTTTTTAAACGTTGTCTAAAAATTATTAATTAATAACCTAATGTTAAACTGATGAATTGAGCTGGCTACTCTATTATTTATATCATTAACAAATACTATAGTATTTATATATGACGATTAATTAATACTTTTACATAATATTACATAATCTTAATTTCATACAAAAAAAAGTAAGTTTAATGTTTATATCTATTCTGCAAGGAAATAAATTGATTACAATGACTTAAAATTAAAAAAAAAATTGTCGATTTAAATTACATAGATAGCAATTGTAACAACACACTATTGTAGGTGTAATAAACATAGTTATCATAATTATTATCATTTATTTATTCCATTAGTGCAATCATATTACGATTAAAAGTGATATATTTTACTTGTTGGCAGTGTTTAATGCTCTCTCGATAGGCAATTTTTTCCAGCATACGGTTCGCGACGAGAATATAAAAGAAAAGGATAGAATGAATAGTTCTTTATGATTCAATTGCTACTAATAGTGCATTTATGATAAAGAAATTATCTGATTAAAGTTGAGCTGATTGAAAATTAATTGTAATCAACTTCATAGAATTCTGTTAGGAATAATGTTCTGATTTTCTAATGCAAAAGTCTTTTTCAATTATTGAAAAAAAAATAAAAATAATTTAATTTCATTTTTTAAAGTAATGTGATTGATGTGAAGATGTCTGATTAAAAAATTATCTCAGTGGTTATGAAAATTAATAAAAAAACCACAGTCCTTTTAGAGTATTCTGAAAGCTTTGAAACATGTAGTTGGTATTGCATTGCATTGTGGAAGACATGAAAGTGAAAAAAAAATTGCTTATTTGAAACACATTACTCCTTACATAGATATGTGTAAATTCTAAAGATTCTTCACTTTAAATATTCACTTCCATTATTTTTCAATATAGCCTTTGTCGAGTGGAGATTTGAAAATTCAGACAAAATATTGAATACCTTTGAAGTGTCTTACAGCAGTAAGTGATGGTAAGTGGTGAGAAATATAAAAGAAACTACTTTCCTTTATATTGAAGGGTGATACTTCTGCATTTCAATATTTCAAATACATAATAAAAATGGATTTAACAAAGAGAAGATGAATTCTACCTGTTTTATGCATCTGTTTTATAAATTGACATTTGTTGAAATAAATAAGTGCTAACAAACTCTATTTTGCATCTATAAATATTTAAACTTATTGATTTTAATCATTTAGAATATTTAAACATTTATCTTTGTGCTATTATTTCATTTAGTTAAACTCATGTAATAAATAGAATCAAGAGAGAAGATTTATTTCTCTAATTACTATCCAATGGTATTGTTTACACGTCGTTTGATGATAAAAAATTGTATCCAACTGCGTCTGATTGGATTTCCTATCATGTTAAACCAGATCGAAGACTTTCCTGTTAACTATTCTCAGTACTGCTTTTTCCATCTCAAGGCCATTGACATAGAACTGTGCCTGATCTTTAATTGTAAGTTGAGTGTAAAGTAAGAAGTTCTTTAATGCATTTTCCTTTCTGTTCTTTCACATCCAAATATTGATGGTTGGAGGAATTCACTTGCAATCGAAATGGAATTCTTTTGAATTTTTCATACATACAGTTTTGGTATTGGAGAAATTTGTATTTTAATGAACTTTATTCGTTGAATAAGGCAATTTTGAATTGGATTTAAAAGCGTAAGAAAGTATATGTCTTTAATGCAATATCAATCACAACATTTTAAACATCATTTTTAATTCTTAACAAAATAGAATTATGAACTTGTAGACTTTTTCATGATTGATTTTTTGCGTTGAATAAACAGTTTACGCCGGACTGTGGTCATCTATTTTGAAGTAAAATATGGGTAATTATTAAAAAATGGGTCTCCACGGCACATTTAGAATATGTTCTACACGGAAATAATTTTTTCACTAAATGGAAGTGTAAAAATGACAAGTGCACGAAACTTAGAAATAAAAGTATTTCTGTTTAACAGTAAATTTTGATTTGTTGTAAGTAATTTTTGAGTTATCCTAAGTAATTATTTTACTAAGACACTTTTTAAGTCTCAAGTTTACTTACGACAACCCAAAATTCACTATAGAACAGAAATATTTTTATTTATAAATTTCGACACGTGGACTTGTTACTTTTCGAACTTACATTTAGTGAAAAAGTTTTTCTATTGAGTATAATTAAAATTTTATTGTAATAATTAATACGATTTATTTCGATAATAGACTAAAACTGTAGTTTTGTTAATTGACTTAACTGTATATCGTTACTGGGAATGATAATTATATCGTCTCACACTTTTCTTTTTAATACCTGAGTAATTTATTTATCAAATATTGATAATTCAACCTAAGCTGTAAAATCGTGTATTTAAAAATAATAATATACATTAAAAGAGAAATAGATGAATTTATTTTAATTATATTATACTTCAAGATTATGAACTTCAAGGAAGTTTAAGATTTTGAGTTTAATTTTTACTTGTCATCTATTGATGAATAAACTGTATTCACAGTAAGGAAAAAAAGTATTTTTTCAACAGTGAGTTGTGAAGTGATCTATTTATTTTTGAGAGAATATTTTTTACAGTAAAAAAACATTCTAAATTTAATGAGAATGATTTTATAAAATTTTTGATATCATTGATCGACATAAAATTAAATTATATTAGATTGAATTTAATTAGCTAATATAATACCTCCAGATTATTTATCAACATTTTTCAATTAAAATAACAATGAATTGATTGAGATACGAAAAAAATTAGAAAGTTTGTCCTTCATAAATTAATTCTTTTATTTGATTGATCTCTGAGTATCTATTGAAAAAAATTATTAGTGCACTATCATTTTCAATCGGTCGTCATAGAAGTATTTAAAATGATTGTGAATCAAGAGTTCAATTCTCTAGAGATATTAATTGAAATTTTAAAATCATTCATTATCTTACGATGAAAATATTCTCTAGGAAGTAATCAAAGTTCAATCGATGGGTATTTGTTAAAAAAAAAAGCTCTCGTATACAGCAATAATCGCTTTTTCTCATTCATTTTTAACGATCTCGTTTGAAAATTACCTTAATCACTGGTTTAAAAAAAAACTGTTCTATTCATCGTAGTCAATTTAAGCTCTTCCTCTTTTTCAGGATGAACGGCGTGAGAAGTTAAGAGTAAATTAGAGATAGGAAGTGCGCGAGCAAGCAACAACAATAACGACAAAAGAAGGATAGAACATTAAAAAGAGACAAAAAGAGGAAATAAAGATTTAACGATGGTCGTCGAATGGTTATGCCCTGGAATGAGGCCCACTGGTAGTCGTAGGCCTCGGATTCTTCATTGCAAGGTCATCCTTCTTGACGAGCACGAGTTACTGCAGGACGTGTTGGTAAGTATAAAAATTGCATGTAACCTATGTCAGAATATTTACGGTGCTTGAGAAATAATTGCAGATTAATAATTTGTGAAAAACAGATAGTCTGATTGTGCTATGGTGTCTACTAGTTTTTTTCCAATTAAAATAATGAAATTCAATTTAAAGATATACTGAATGAATTTTCACAGCTAAAAGAGCAATGACTTTGTTCGCATTAGAATTAATCTAAATTTCGTTAAGCTGTTTGAGAAAATATTCTATTTAATTTCATCAATAAAAAGTGCAATTTTGTTTCTTATTACAAAGGATTAGAATCATAATTCATTAAAAGAGCACAACTGAGTTTTTAAATGAATACGCTTTTGATCAGTTGAAATAAAGTTACGCAAAGCGTCGAATGTACATGTTATGTCAATACCCAGATTACAAGCTCCGATTGAAAAAAAAGAGGGCCTAAAAAATATGAATTTATTGCAATTTTTTTTTTTCTTGTAAAAAAGCTGTATGTAAACTTTTATGAAGCAATTTTTTTTAGTTATTGATTCTTTTTACATGACTACTTTAACATAAGTAACCAGTTTTGCTCTCAGTAGATTGATTATGTTTTTATCTACTATCTAGTAATATTAGATTGATTGAAATAATATTGATATTTATTAATAAAGTGTTAATTTAATTGAATGTTCTAAAAATCAAAAAAACAAGGAGTAACTTAATGGATGACCTCCTTCAAATAGTGCAAAAATCATACTAATTACTCATTGTTAGACATTAACAGATTGTAATTTAAATAGTTAAAATATAAAAAAAAAAAAAAATTTAATTGAATGTACGAAAACTTTTGTGACCCATTGTACGTTCAAGTTTTTCATTTTATCATCTGGAAAGCTCTTAATAAATAATTACTACTGAGTAGAAAAACATTACAAAATTATTTTAATTTGACAACCACATATTTGAATTATTGTAAACAAACATTTATTTATTCAATAATATATAATTACACAAAAACAATCGCCATTAATTAAATCTTATTGATAATTCGTTTGATCAATATCAAAGTGAATAAACATAGTACATTATAAATAATTCATTTTAACAATTAACCAGCAAAACCTTTGTATTTAATATCAGTTTCATAACCATTACTCTGAATTAATTTTCAACCAAAGTTTTGTGGTTTGATTTTTTCAACAATCACTAATTACCTAACTTAGCACATGAAAAATAACATAATCATTTTAAATAGCTGTGAAAAGTATCTTTTTAAAGCAACTATTTCGGATATTGTCAATCAATTATCATTCCATTATTTAACAGATTGTTTTATCAAATGAGTGGTATTACACTTATTAATTATCAATTTTTAAATTTATTAATGCATTTAAAATTATTAACATTTCTTAACATAATAATTAATCTGTTGATTTACGTTTTTTCTTGGTGTCTCACTTTACCCCACCCTTCCCTTAGTTAATTATTTATAAAAGAGTATAAAAGGGCTACATCATTGGATGGTGAAATATTAAATTGCAGAGTTGAATTATTTTCAACAAAAAAAAACATTTTTCAATAAACATTGAACAAAAATATTTCATTGTTAAAATTTTTTTTTCTCGATTTCTACATCTTCCATTCCACCAGTTATTCAATAGATCGCTTTTATTCCTATTTCACAATATATCACAGAGAAAATGAGTTTGAACCGTGATTACTTTAATGTTTTTTTTGACGTCTGTTTACTGCATACATTTATTCCAACACGATCGATATATTTAATTGAATAAGATTCACTTTAGAGTTAATTAAACATCAATAATATAATGCAAATGACAATAATTTTTTATTAATTAAACAGTGTGAATAAATATTATCCAGATGTGTCAGATAAATAATTGAGAGTGAAACAATTAATTACACTCTGAATACATGCGAGTGGGAGGGCCGGTAGTCAAGCGTCATTACTTGGAAACACATAAAGTCGGCCATGAAATGGATTGCGTCTCATTCATCAAGTTTCCAGTTACGTCTACAATTTTTAATGTAAAACATATACTACACCCAGTGGGTTGATTTTCTCTTGGCGTGTTTTTCCATTTCATTCGCGCGAGTGCTCTGGGGCCGCAGCCTCGCTCCAACCTTCAACCTGTACCCTATGCTTATATGCTTCGCCTGAGGGTAAATCAACCGAGGCAGGCAAAACGGATTCTCGAGTAGGTGGGGACGAGTGAAAAAATCGAAATTACTTAATGGACTGCCTTATAGACACGCGAAGATATTATACACGAATTTTGCTCTCGAATCGCTTTGTAGGAAGACGGACAAATAGCCAACATCAAATCGTGTATAACAGACAGTTCTGATGCTGCCAGATTTTAGGTATATTATAAAGATACACACTTTTATTTCTATATATAAGTATACATATAATACGGTTATATTAGAGATAAAGTCATACTGCACCAGAGTCGGCGTGGTTCAGTTTTGTACTCTCTTATTATAAGATATACGAAAATTACCACTGACCACTAACTCTTTTTTCGACGCCCTTCTAATTTGCTCATGAATTTTTCACTCTTTTTTTTATTCTTTTTCTCAGACATTTTATGACCACCCTCTAAGAATTCTTTCAAGTACTTTGATTTGCACTTGTTCCATTATTTAAACTCAAGACTTTCAGAATTTTATTATCAATAATGCATTACATATTTACCATCCTTCTAATAAATAGATTTTTGACTTCCTAGTCAAAGTCAAGTTAGGAAGTTTATTTGCGTACGTGTGTTCGGAATTATTATTCGTCTCAATTATCTCAAGAACAAAAAATGATATCGACGTGGGATTAATTATACATTCGACGTATAATTATGCAACTGAGAACTGATGAGATTTTTAGCAAAATCGGTTCAGCTGTTTTTCATGCAGAATCAAAAAACTGAAAAAAATGGTACACTAGATAAATTTTATGATTCTTTCCACCGGGATGTTAGTCGTGCAGATCACCGCAGAGCACTGATTTTTTTCTATTGAAACTTCAAGTACATATTCAATCAATTTAAACCTCATCAATTAAATCAATTTTCTACTTCTCAATCAATTATGTCTTAACAGATAAATTTATTAACGAGAGATTTTTCTTATTCAATTCGGTTTAGGTTATTGTAAGCAACTTCTTCTTACTAATAATTTTTTATTAAATTCACATAAAGTAATGAAATTAACTAAATAATTTCCAACCAAGACCATCGGTAGTTCAGGTACATATTTCTTACCTTAAAAACTATATTCACATAATTACTATCCATATAATTGCATAGATAAAGAATGGTTCGAATGGATGAATTTAAAAAAATTAAACAAGTAAGTTTTGCTAAGGGTAAGTTTCCAATTAGAAAAGCTGTAATATATTTATTTCGTGAAAGAACATTTTATCAAAACTGGATGAAATCTCCTATTAGAATCAGAAACGTTCATTTGAAAAAAAAAGACACAGAATAAAATTATACTTCTAAGTGTAATGAGTTTTTTTCAGAAGCTAAATTATTAAACTCACTTATATTTACATAATTACGACGAGGTGAAAATACATTTTGAAAAGGTGGTAAAAAAATGATTAACACGTGAGTTATATGAGAAACATAGTTCAATGTATTATAGACGCGAGAAATAGGAGATAACGGAGAGCTTAACGAAGCGCGTAACACGCGCATTAATTATCACCACGACGAGAAACGAGTCAGCTAGATATAGATATAGATATAATGGTTGTGTAGTTAGTGGGAACGCTGCATATATCATTGACAAACGGCCTACTTGTATCACCATGTTAAATCTTTGTACGGGCCGTATTATAATGTAGCGGAAGACGTACTGTGCTAGCTGTCTATGAAATCTTGTGTGCACATAGAATTTACAGAAGTTCAAAGTCAATATTGTCTAGGTCCCAGTATAATAATCAGAATAATGCGCTTGAATGAATTTACTTATTGTACTTTAGAACTTGCAAATATTCGAGTAATTAAACAAATATTGCATTATTTAAATTTGAAGCAGTTTTTTTGTTAAACTTTAGTGATTTATATTCAGCAGACATTCTTAATAAAAACATTTTTATAAGTTGTAATATAACTGTTATTAACTTGTTCATTTATTTATAAATGAAATATTGAAAGATAATTAATGTTATTTTAAGAAATATACTGCACATCCGAGCGTTTAGAAACTTAAAATAAGCCATAAATAATGTATAGCAATTTTTTAGACGAATTTTAACCCTTAAGTGCATAGCATGTCGAAAATGAAACAGTAACTTCATGCCTTTGTTACCCGAGTAATAGTACATTTCACACCTAAGGAGGAAAAGTAGTCTAGCTCAAACCACATGTAGAATTACAACCCAAGCCAAAGGTGAGGGTGGTTTAAGATCTATTTTTTTAGGTTTAATTGTTTTTATTAGGATGATTGGGTAGGATTAAGGTCTTATTGTTGTACTATTTCTTTTATATTTTCTTGAAAAATGAGTCACAGCTGTACATCTTGAAAGAATCTCACCTGATTTCAGGGACAAATTCTCTGACACTGTAAATTTAAGAGCATTTTTATTATACATCTAAATGCGTTAAACATGACGTCACCTATTTGATTGACATTGTAGTCACTTTTAATACGTTTCGAAGTGTGTAAAAAGTGACTACAATCTCAATGAAATGAGTGACGTCACATTTAACACAATTAGATGTGTAATAAAAATGCACTTAGATTTTGAGTGTACTTATTTACTAGAAAATTAACAAAGTATTCACAAGCGGGAACAAATACTACTATAGTCAAATAAATATAAAGTCATTGATGGTAAAAATGAAATAAAACACAAAAAAATAAGTAAGCTTGGGGTAGTGATTCCCACGTCGTAGGTTCACTGCTGGGGGCTGATGTTGAGCGAGAAATGGTTAAATAAACGGTTGCCCGTGCGCGTAAAGGAGGTACACGAGGCAAACGAAAGACAGCCTGCG